CTTTAAGATTGTTTATTCTAGTTTGATTTGTTTATCAAATTGTTTATTATTTTTATATTTCTGTACAGTATTACTTGATACTTTTTGTAAGTATTACTTGATTCTCTGTAAGGACGTGTTAAATTTGTACAAAATTGTCCGACCAAATTATTTTTGATTTTATTAGAAAAAAAATTAACAAGGGCTACAAAATTATCAGCTTTATCATAATAAGTAAACAGCCGAATTAATTTTTGCTTTTTCGATATTTGTGTATCTTTTGCCATTTAACATGATACACGGAAAGAACAAGACGACATTGGATACCATTTCAGATTATACTCAGTGACATCTGAGGCGAAAAAAATTTCAGATGGTAGCTAATATAATCCAGATTATACTGAATAATATCTGGATTATACTGAATAATATCTGGATTATACTCATTGTTATCTGGATTATACTAGCTATTATCTGAAAAAAATTTCACTCACTATAATCTGGAATTATATCCAGTATAATCTTATTCTTTCCGTGTAGGGGACTGTTTGCCAGGGGACTGTTTTTTTTTTTTATCAAATTGAGAGAAATCAAACAAACTATTTCAATGCATTCAACTTTTCAAGTTTTCAATAAATGTTTACATTAATTAGAATAATATTAAGACTTGTGGATCCAATTTTATAAATAAATTATAAATAAAAATATTTGCAAGGGGACTGAGTTTTGAAATGGCCCAGACACATATTTCCAGCACAAACGGTGCTTTAACACTAAATAAAATGCCCATAAAGCGCTAACAGCCCTATGGATATTAACTCAAGGCTAGTTAGATCCTTATAAACCTTACAAAAGGTAAAATAACACGCTGGATTTTTTTTTTGGCTTTAAACTTTTGGCAGGGGACTGTTCTTAAAATGCCTGGGACAAACTTTAGTTTTATGAATTTAATGAAACAAATTAATTTTCGGTACTTTTTATTGAAGAAGATTGTTAGTTATCTAATTAAGTTTATAAACATTATGGACCAAATTATATATTATGGACAAATAACTTAAAATTTAATCTTTAAGTTTCAATTTTGGGAGTGGGACAGCCCAGGGGACTGATATTTCGGTGGTTTACGAATTTATAGTAAAAAAACCAAAATTTATTTCATTTTAGTTTTCAATGCTCCAAATAGAAATGTTTTTTTTGCTTTTGTAATAAAATTTTATTTAGTAACAAAATAAGAATTTTTCTAATAAAAAAATGCTTGGGACAGCAAAAAACATCCTTACAGAGAATCACCCATATAAATTAAATAAATAAATTAATTAAAAAAATAATTATTGATATGATCAGCAGGTCCAACAAACTAATAAGCCGCTTGGAAATTGTTTGTTCCTACAAGGGAGACGAAAATGGAATTATTAAATTTTCCAGAGAACATAAAATAAAATTACATTCATGGCCTGTTAATTTCTCGCTATCAAATTTTGATATAGGAGTTGTTGTTTCTTTTGGGCATTTAATTCCTCTGTGGATAATCAATACATTTCCTTTGTGAGTATTAATTTATTATTTTTAACTTCCCACTAAAAATCTCAGATTTTCAAAAATCGGGAAGTTATTGTTTTCACCCCGTTTTGCAAAAATCGAGTTTTCATCAGATCTCGACGTTTTAAGGTCATAGGAAGCTTCCCTGACTACCCCCGCGGTAGTGTCTGTATGTCTGTATGTATGTATGTATGTATGTGTGTGTGTGTGTGTGTGTGTGTGTGTGTGTGTGT